CCTCCCTCTGCATCCCTGTGTTAGCTATCTTTAATGAATGCTCCTTAATTGTTCTCAGGTCATATAGCTGATAACTGACAAATTTAAAATCCAATTGTGCTAATTTGGAAGGTATCTTCCCAAAATCTATGTCCATTGGATCCTTGGAACGTGGCCTAATTTGAAAATAATGTCTCTACAGATGCATTAGAGTTAAGATAAGGTCATACTAGATTAGAGTGGGCCTAAACCCAGCAATTAGTGTTATTGTATTATATAAGAAGAAGGAAATTTGGATGGTGCCTGAGTGGCTCAGCTTAAGTGTCTGACTTTGGCTCAGGTCATGATCTCACAGTTTGTGAGTTCGAGCCCCACATCAGCTCTCTGCTGTCAATGCAGAGCCTATTTTGGATCCTCTGTCACCCTCCCTCTGTGCCTCTCTCCCATGTGCATGCACTTTCTCTCTCTCTCTCTCTCTCTCCCTACCTCCCTCTCAAAAAATAAATAAACATGAAGAAGAAGAAGAAGAAGGAGGAGGAGGAGGAGGAGAAGGAGGAGGAGGAGGAGGAGGAAATTTGGAAACAAAGGTACAGTAGGAAAACAGAGAAGGCCATGTAAACACAAAGGCAGAGGGTAGAGCCATTTGCCAAAGCCAAGGATTGCTGGCAACCACCAGAGGCTCAGAAGACGGGAGGAAACAGTCTTCCCTAGAGTCTTCAGAGGAAACATGGCCCTGCCAAGTTTGAACTTTTAGATTCCAGACCTGTGAGAGATGAAATTTCTGTTGTTTGGGTGGGTGGGTCATTCGGTTAAGCGGTTAAGCGTTTGACTTCAGCTCAGGTCATGATCTCACCATTTGTGAGTTCAAGGCCTGCATCTGGTGAGTTTGAGCCCCGCTTCAAGCGAGCACTACCCCTGCTTCAGGTGAGCTCGAGCCCCACTTTGGGCTCTGTGCTGACGGTGTGGAGACTGCATGGGATTTTCATTCTCCTTCTCCTTCTCTCTCTGCCCTTTGCTCACTTGTGCTCTCTCTCAGAAATAAATAAATAAACAAATAAATAAATAAATAAATAAATAAAGTTTAAAAAATGAATAAAAATAAATTTCTGTGGTTTTAAGTTGCCCAGTGTATGGTAACCCATTACAGCAGGCCTTAGAACACTAACACACCAGCCTAAGTCTGTCGGTTATAACTCTTCATATTTAGCCACTATGATATGCTGTCCTGTGTCTGTAGCACTTAAACTGTATCCTTTGTGGTACATGTCTCAGATGCCTTGCATTTCACAGTAGGAGACAGATGGTACACCCAGAATTCGAGGTGGGGATGGAGCAGGGTAGGGAAGAGGTAAAATGATTGCAAGGTAAAGAATGGGCAGCGCTATTTCTTGAAAAGGGGCCCGAACTTCATTACAGTCTGACCCTGCGGTTTAGCAGAAAAGGGGAAATGCTTCTGACTATGAAGGAAGTATCGTGCACTAGAAAGAAAGCAAGACTGGAAACTGCAAGCCTATCATGAACCCTCTCTATGATCAGGCACATGACATTCAGATGTGGCTGCTCTAACATGGACTATTCAACTTGGCAACATTGAGATGTGACCTCAAAAACAAAATATGAACCTTTCAGCTTTAAAAAATTCCTAAGCTCCTCACTCAATCTCTGACCCTCTGTCCGAAACTCCTGCTTCTGACACACAGCAGACACTTAACTTTTCTAGAAAAAACTGCATATGGAGGATGGTAGGAGGTTGGAGGTGTCAGAAAGGAAATAATGGTCAACAGCAAGCAAAAAGATGTATAGCAAGGGTCATGAAGGAAGGCTCAAGAATCAGCGATGTCACTAACATTTGGTAATCAGTGGCCGTAACAGAAGCAAATATGGCAAAATATCAGTATTTGTCAAATCTTGGTAGTGAACAGAGGTGTTTGCAGTATTTTTCTTTAAATAGTTTGGTGTGTTTTAAATATTTTCTTTTTAAAAAGAAAAACAATAAAAGAGCAACCACCTCCTAATGGCTGGAAAAATGGATGTGTCAAAGTAGCATCATTCAAATCCCTTTACTTTGATGGGTGCTGAATCCCCTCCGTCGCCAGCAGAGCTTGTATAGTTGTGGCAAAACGGGTCAGTCCCACACACGACTGGACCAATACATTAAATAGAAGCTGTGGAAATATATATGAAAAGACATTTCCTTGGCTTCTGTGCTCCTGCTTCTGAGAATTTATGCAAGGGAAAAGACCATTTAAAAGAAAAAAGGATAAGGTACCTGGGTTGCTCAGTCAGTTGAGCATCTTTTGATTTCATCTCAGGTCATGATCTCAGGGTCATGGGATCTAGCCCCATATCTGGCTCCATGCTGAGTGTGGAGCCTGCTTGAGATTTTCTCTCTCTCTCTCTCTCTCCTGCTGTCTCTATCCCCTGCTCATGCTAAAAAAAACTTTTTTTTTTTTAAATTTAAAAAATAAGAAAAAAGAGGGGCGCCCGGGTGGTTCAGTTGGTTTGGTGTCCGACTTTGGCTCAAGTCATGATCTCGCGGTTCGTGGGCTCAAGCCCCGCATCGGGTTCTGTGCTGGCAGCTCAGAGCCTGGAGTCTGTTTCAGGTTCTGTGTCTCCCTCTCTCTCTGCCCCTCCCAAGCTCATGCTTTGTCTCTCTCTGTCTCAAAAATAAATGAAAACTATTAAAAAAAATTTAATAAAAAAAGAATCAATAGATGAAATATTGGGGGACAAAATTGTTAATAACAATGAGAAACTAGAAATAAGGTAACGCTGGGGGAGTGCTCACCACTCTGCTCTGATCATACCACCTTTATCTTCCCCTAGATCACTGTGGTAGCTTCTAGCTGTCTCTGCTTCCACCCTTACACCTACAGTGTACTCTCAGCAGCCAGAGTAATCCTTTTAAAAGGAAATGAAATCACATCTCCACTTCTCTTCCAAAGGTTCCCAACACCCTCACTGCTACTAACGCTGGCCCGAGCCACCACCTCCTGGGGCCTGGATTTCAGGGACAGTGTCCTAACTGATCTCCCCTTTTCCAGCTTCCTTCCCTTGAAGGCAACAGTGAAAGTGTCCTTTTTCAAATCATAAATCGGATCGTGTCACTCCTCTGCTCAGAACCCTGCAGTGGCTTCCCGTTTGACTCAGAATACACCCATATGACTCAGAGTAAAGTCAGAGTACATGTTCAGAGTAGCACACAAGGACCTCATCTCCTGCCCTGCCCCACTGAATCCTTTTCATTGGCTGTTCCCTCTACTCATAATGTTCTTTCTCCATATGTCCACGTGACTCGTTCCTTCACTTCCTTCAAGTGGTAACTCAAATCTCCCCTTCTCAGTGAGATCTTCACTAACCACCCTATTTTAAATGTCACTACTCCAGCACTGAGTGCTGAGTAATGTATAGAATTGTTGAACCCATTATATTGTACACCTGAAACTAATATAACACTGTATGTTAATTTTACTTGAATAAAAGAAAATGTTTACAATGTTCCATTCCAGATGCCATCATCTGACTTTCCTGTTTTGTATTTTCTCTTAGAATTTATCATCTTCTAACATAATAAGATAACTTTACACATCATTTTTCAAGTGTCTATCTGGCCTGCTCCCACACACATGTATGCTAGAGTTTAAACTACGGGAAGAAATAATTTTTATCTATTTGTTCATAGCTGTTTCCCCAGCACCTAGAACAGTATGTGGCATATAGTTGACATTCAATAAATATTTGTGAAATGAAAGCACAAAATGTTAAGTAAATTGGGTTATACCAAGATGTGGAAAGATTAAGCAATCAGATAAAACTGTACCCGTGCTGTGTATCATATAGAAAAAGTCATATGATGTAACCTAAATGTTAAAAGCTTATGATGCAATATTGTGTGACCAAAACTACACTGGTATGGGTTTGGCAACATTGTTCTTTTCTGGTTCTTCTGTTTCCCTTCCCTTAAATGTTTAGAGTTCTCAAAAGGTGCCTGACTGGCTGGCTCAGTGGGTGGAGAAGGGAACTCCTCATCTTGGTTTATGGATTTCAGCCTCATGCTGGGTGTAGAGTTTACTTAAAAAAAAAAAAAAAAAAAAAAAATGTTGGAGCTCCCAAGTTTGTCTTTGGTCCTCTTGTCATTTCTATCTACTCTCGCTGCTTAAAATACTATCCAATTTATTTAGCATGTTGTCCAGACCACCGTCTTGGGCCCAGGCTCTGTTTTCAGCTTCTTACCCACATTATTCATTACTCAAGTTGTTTTGTATACACCTCTATTGGTAGTTAGATACCATTCTGGGAATAGTTATCAGTCTTTCCCATAAAAGTAAGAGAACTCTTCCAGGATAAGGTAAGATAAACAGAACGTATTAGTAAAGAGTGAATAAATGAGTAATACAAGATGGTAATAAATTGAGTTTCATACTATGTGCCAACTACCTCTAAGAACTTTATAGTATCATTTAATTCTCACAGCAGCCCTGTGAGAGGTGTAAGGTAGACATGTTTTTATTACACAGATAAATAAGGAAAAGGATTATAAAAAACAATAACCAAAAAGTATGCAGACGTTAAATTAAGTATTAAAGTCTGTGTGTCAGTGGGATCAGGGGTGGTTTTTCTCTTTCAAAAAAACTCTTTAATATTGTAGTTAAGCTGCGTCTGTGTGTGTTGCGTATGCAACGCGAATCCGTACGCGACCAAATAACTATATTTGAGGGCAAACACAGCCGCCGGAAGTTGTAGGCGGGGTCTGGGAAAAGGGGAGGAACCCAGACGTACCGACAGGCCGAGCCCGCCCCCACCAGTGAGCAGCCTGCCAGGGCGGGGGCGGGCGGCGGGAGGAGCAACGGGCCCCACCCACGGAAACGAGTCCTTAAGGAGAGGCGACCCGACCTCTCCTTGCAAATAGCATGCGGGGGCTGTGGGCGGAGCCACTCCTGAAAGGATCCAGAGGCAGGCACCGATTGGCTGACGCAGAGATGGGGCGGGCTCTAAGGCTAATCCAGCCTCGCGGAGGGGAGGGGCCTACGCCTGAGTTTCCTGGAGAGGAAGGAACCCGACGCTGAGGCCGCTTTGGAACGCAAAAGTCTACGGCGCCCTGGGCCCTAGAGGCGGAGCCGGAAGCTCCACCGTTTCGCCTCTGAGCCCCTCTGTTTTCGAAGGGGCAGCTCTTTTTCTCTGGACCGGGTCTTCCTCCCCTCCTCCCCCTTCACGCGGAGGCCGAAGCCCCCAGCCTGGCCTGGCGGTGCTGCGGGAGCTCCGGGACCCGGAAGAAGCACTAACTCCCGCCTCCGCCATGGAGCCCACCGCGCTGTCCCTCACCGAGGAGGACTTGACAGAAGTGAAAAAGGACGTGAGTAGCCTAACCTCTGCCCAGGCGCCGCCAAGGGCCGTTGGTTGAGGGTGGGTGGGGGCAGGCTACGGCCGGGCGGGCGAGGAAAGCGGAAACCCTGAGTGGGAGTCCCGAGTCGGAAGAGAGCCTGCGGGTCGGAGAAGCGGAAGGTCCAGACACCACAGGACGGCGGGGAGTATGTAGAGCCCTACATCCGAGAGCCTTGGTGGAAGTGATCCCCGTGATCTGTTAATCTTACGTTTTAAATCGCTAAAAGCAGGACTTGGGTTCCTGAAGCCTTGTCCAGGGGAGCGTTTCTACGCAGTCAGCTGCTTGCCCACTCTTCGCTCTTCCTCTGGGGGTGGGTGGGTGTGTGTGTGTGTGTGTGGGTGTGTGTGTGTGGGTGTGTGTGTGTGTGTGTGTGTTTAACCCCCACTGCACTTTGGACCAGCGTTGTTGGGAACCGATTGCCCAGGTTCATCCCTGACTCAGACTCCTTAGGCTGCTGGCTCAACCTGGAGCAAAGCTGGGCCAGTTAAAGGACCCCAAAGCAAAAATGTGAAACTCATTTATAATGGGGGTTGGGGGAAGCTCAACAGCTGAAAGCACAACCTGGAATTCCCCTAGTAAGCAAACGCCCACATATTTAAATTGAGGGGCGGGCGGGGGGTAGCCGAAAATTAATCTACAGGTAAATGCTGAAAATACTCAGTACCTAAATTGGGCTCTTTTGCTTGGTTGCTGCAGAACTGCACAGATCTTAATACTTATTTGAAAAGAATGCCTTTACTAAGGCATTTCTTGTTTCTCTTTTGCTTTTAATTACTTGTTTTGCCATACGAGACCTATAGGAGTACCACTAAAATACTTTATATAAATTCAAATTAAAAACAGGGAAAAAAAAAAAAGCCTCAACAACGGAAACTCAACAGAAAATGAGTTCTGGTTTAACACTGCAGTACTTATACAGAATAATCTCTGTGAACTGGACAAGACAGCAGCTTTTTGAATGTACATCTACTTTAAATTCTTCCCCTTCCCTTCAAAGGTTTATTACACTGTATTCGTATTTACAATTGGTATGACTCATCAGCAGAAGGAAACGGTATGACTGGGATTTGTGCCTTAGTTTCCTCATTCAGATATTTATGGAGCACTTACTATATGGATAAAGTACTATTCTTGGGCCTGGAAAGATAGGAAAAAAGGACAGTCAGACCCCTACATACTATTTGAGATAAGTCTGGCACCTTGGTAACTACTGTACAATACATGAATGTTGCTTTATAGAAGATTTGTGCCAGTAAAAACATGAATGTCAAGAGCTAAGCCTGCGGTGTTCCAGATTCTTTGTCACACAATTTGCAACGTTCCCATTTAATCTTTACAGCGGCCTCTGAGGGAAATAACTGCCGTTCCCATTTTACAGCTAATTAAAAAAAGGTGGTGAGAGGTTACAAATGGGTATAAATATAAAACCTGTACACAATCACAGATATGAAGAGTGCCTTCCAGGTCTTCATTTTTCCTATCAGTTCATTGATACTATCCATCTCCATGATTTCAATTTACAGCTGTATCAGAAATTCATAACCTTGAGGAATCCTGAATGGGTTTCAGGAAGTCTATTTTAAAAGTACGTGCATATTTTTTCCTTAGAAATTTTCTTCATGCTATTTTCAAAATGGCTGATGACTTCAGAAGGTCTTAAAATTATCATACACAGGGATGCCTGGGTGGCTCAGTTTGTTAAATGTCTGACTTCGGCTCAGGTCATTATTTCACAGTTCGTGAGTTCGAGCCACATGTCGGGCTCTGTGCTGACAGCGTGGAGCCTGCAGCCTGCTTGGGATTCTGTATCTCCCTCTCTGCCCCTTCCCTGCTTGCTCTCTCTCTCTCAATAATAAATAAACATTAAAAAATTAAACTTATCATATACATATTTGGACTTCCTTCTCTGCTCTAGGTGCTTATTTCCAAATATCTACTGGAAATCGACTACTTTATTCTGCACACTCAAAAACTGAACTTTTTATCATCCCTTCCCCAAAGCTGCTTGCTGTCCCTGCTTATTCTGTCTTGCTGTATAGTATACCACCACCCATCCTCCTGGAAAGTCCCACTCTTCCACTGTGCTCCTTCCCTCCCCACCTGCCATTCCCATCTAGTTGTTTACCTCATCTTTTTGGTTGAATTTAGTTCAGTTTCAGAAATATGGATTACATGCTGCTGTGAAGCATGTATGATTTTAACAATTTAAAAGTTAAAAACTGGGGCGCCTGGGTGGCTCAGTCCGTTAAGCATCCGACTTCGGCTCAGGTCATGATCTCGCAGTTCGTGGGTTCGATCCTCACATGGGGTTCCGTGCTGGCAGCTCAGAGCCTGGAGCCTGCTTCGAATTCTGTGTCTCCCTCTCTCTCTGTCCCTCCCCTACTTTCTCTCTCTCTCTCTCTCTCTCTCTCTCAGAAATAAATAAAACAGTAAAAAAAAAATTTTTTTTAAGTTAAAAACTAAGATACAGTCCCAGTTTGAAAAGCTTGATTTCTTGCAAGGAGGGAGACACATAAAATGATAATTTCAAACTGGATAAATACATTTTACATTCGTCTAAAACACTATTGGACACTCTAATAAGTGCAAGATACCCAAAGTTGAAGAAAACATACGTGGGTCTTGCCTACTTCAAACATACGGGCTGTTGGGGTTGAAAACTAATAAATACATGATTTCAAATTAAGCTAAGTTCTGTGAAGGAGACAGGCAGGTGTTGAGACAATAGCAGGAGGAATCTACTTGAGATAGGATGGTCAGGGAAGGTTACATTAAATTGGCTGCTGAAGAATATGACAGAACTGGGGGAAGAATGTTTTAGGCGAATAGAATTTGCAAAAGACCTAAAATAAGCAAGATCTTGATGACTTGGGGAAATTGGAAGAAGGCAGAGGGTTCCCTGAGGTGAAGTTAGGAAGGTGGGCTAGAGCCAGATCGTGAAGGGTCTTAGAGATGGTAATAAAGTGTTAGGACTTTTTCCCTAAGTATAGTAGGGACCTATTGAAGAATTATATTTTTAATCTCTCTGCCTATTGTATGGACTGAGGAGAGCAGAAGTGAGAAGAGGAAACCAGTGAGGAGATACTTGGAATTTATATAGTTGAGAGCTGATGGTGTTTTGGATCAGGGTGAACGCAGTGGAAATGGATGGAATGGAATTCCAGATGGATTTTTGAAATAAAAATGATAGGACTTGGTGATGGATTTCGTTGAGAAAGAGTGGAATTAGATTGATAAGTGAAAATGTCAAATCAGCTATTAGACCTATAAGTCTGAAGGTAAAAAAGGAGATCTGAGCTAGAAATAGAAATGTGGGATTGAGTGAGTTCAACTAGGGAGAGCTAGAAGGGAAAAGGGAGATCATAGGGGAGTGAAAGATGACAGCCACAGAGATGGGAATGAGGCCAGGAGAGTGTGGTGCTCATCTAAAACAAGAGAGTGTTTTAAGAAGGGAGTGGTCAACTGTGTCCATGCTACTGAGAAGTAAGATAAAGACTGGCAAGTATCAGATTTGACAGTGAGGAGGTTACTATGGCTGAGAAGAGTAGTGAGACAGAGTGGACATGAATTGTGGAGTCCTGATGCATGGAAAAGTGAAATATATGCACAGGGTGCTACAAGAACAGAGGAGAGGGGATGCCTAACTACAGAGTTTAAGCAAAGCTTCCTGAAGGAGATGACCACTGTGCTGAATCTTAAGTGATAAGTAAGGATTTAGGGTATGAGAGGAGAAAACAAAACAAAGGTAACAACACAGTGAACCCTAAAGTGACAGATAGCAATTTTAGGTAGAACAGATACCGATAGAGGTGGTGATAGATTAAGCTGGAGAGGTAGGCAGGATCCATGGCAGAAGTGTCCTGTCGGCAATTATCAGGCAGCTATTATTTATTGAGTACTTACTGTGTGTCAGGAACTGTGTCAAGCCTTCGTATTCATGTAGTCCTAGAAGTCTTCCAAAGGAATTGTTTATCACTATTTTTTTCAGTAAAGAACCCGAAGCTTAGGTTAAATAACTTACCCCAGCTCTTAACAGGAGTATATGGCCGATTTAAGATCGGAACTGATGTTGGCCTGATCCAGAGCCAAACTCTTGACCTCTCTGCTATTCTGCCATAGTTGAGGAACTTCATCTTTTACATTGGTGGAACACACGGTTTTAAATTTCAACAAAATTCACTGACAATATTTCAATATTAGTAAAATTCATATGATACTTTTTTTTTCTTGAAAAACTGGAAGATCCTATAAACGTGTGAAGGAGACATTTGAGTGGGAGGAAAGAACTAGGAAGTATACAGCTAGGTGTCTGTTCCTAATAGTCAACGCAGCATATGATAAAGACCTGAACTAAGGCAATGCTGGTAATAGAGATGAAGAGAAGGGGCAGATTTGATAAAAAATAAGGGGTAAATTGGCAGGACTTGGTGGGTGGGTGATCAGATGTGGCAGGTGAACAAAAAGCAGGAGGTCAAGAATGAGTGTAAGTTTATCCCATGATTAGATGGATGGGGGTACTCCCAAATGAGTTAAGAATATCAAAGGAGGGGCACCTGGGTGGTTCACTTGGTTAAACATTGAGCTCTTGATCTCAGCTCAGGTCTTAATCTCAGGTTGTGAGTTTAAGTCCCGCTTTGGAGTCCACGCTGAGGGTGGAGCCTACTTAAAAAAAAAAGTATCAGAGGAAAGGGACAGACAAAGATAATTTAGTTTTGGACATGTTGAATTTGAAGTACCTTTGGGATGTCTAAGTGGAGAGTGTCTTGATCACATGTACAAATTTGTGAACCATCAGCATCTAAATGGTAATGACAACACATGGAGTTTTTCAAGTTCAGCTTTTTTTTTAAATTTATTGTTTTAAGTTTGTTTATTTTGAGAGAGAGAGTGCATGCATACCTGTGGGGGAGGAGTGGAGAGAGAGGGAGAGAATCCCTAGCAGACTGTTTTGACAGCACAACTCTGGTAGTGCAGCTTTATCTTATGAACTATGAGATCAGACCTGATCCAAAATCAAGAGTCAGTCATTTAACCAACTAAGCCATCCAGGTGCCCCTCAAGGAGTTCAGCTTTTAAATCTATTGTCTCCAGTGCTCGCTTCAGCAGCACATATTGCCTCCATCCCCACAGCCTAAATTCATACACTCAGCATATTACAGCAGTCTTCTTATGGGTCTCCCCATTTTTGCTCCCCCCAGTCCTCTGCAAAACTTTTTTTATTGCTTCTTATTTATAAACCTTTGATGACTCTTTTGGCTACCGGGAAACGTCATGTTCCTCAATATGTTACAACAATTCTTCCATAATCCAACCTGTTTTCCTCTCTAGCTTCATTTCTCACCACCCATTCACATGCACCCTGCATCCCAGCTACACTAGACTTGTTAGTATTTCCCTCTGTGCACCTCATGCTACAAGTATAGCCTCTGTAAACTTTCTAGGTCCTGGAGGTACAGTTAATTGCTTACTCTGTGCTTCCTCAGTACTTGTGGCTTTTTTCTGGGTCATATCACATTGTTTTAGAAATACTGGCTTGAGTTTATTGTGTGTTCTCCAACTAGACCATGTGCCCTTGGCATACAGGATCCATGGCTTGTTCATCTTTGTACGCTCAGCACATGGCATATTAGGCATTCAGATATATATGGAATGTTTGTTGTATGAATAAATAAATGAATGTTGGAATTCAGTGGCCCGAGAACTGTAGGAATCTTTCACCTAACCTACTTTCCTGCCACCGTGTACTAGATATTTCTAAGATCTTTCATTCCTTTTAGCTCATCATGATACCTGTGGGTCCATTTAGTCATCACTGTCTTTATCACTAACGTTTATTGACTACTTACTATTTACCAGGCACCTTTCTAAGTATTTTACTTAAATTAATTTATTTCTCATAATACTCGGGTAAGGAAACTGAGACACTGAGGAGTTAACTTATCCAAGATCACATATCTAGTAAATGAAGGAGCTAGAATTCAGTCACTGGAATGAAATTATTAATGCTATTTTTTGGGACCCACACATCAGTTTTCTGCTAATTAAATTCCCTGAGGCACCTCTCAGATCTAGGTCTGTTTTCTGTGATTTCCTTTTCTTCATTCCTTTAATTCCTTCCAACATTCACTGTTTCTTTAGCGCTTGCCCTCCACCCCACCCCTCGTACTTGCCTTTTACCAAATACTCATTGAGTTAGTCTTTCCATTTGAATCCAAAGACAGACACATTATGGGTCCTTTTAGTGCAGAGTTTTTATTATTATTGGTATCGTCATTGTTTTACTCTAGGAAAAGGGAAAATTAACAAACGTGAGAAAGTTATAAATTAGGAGACCTCACTAAGTTACCCTGACTAATCCCAGAGTCCTTGTTAAATGGTAACTAAAATGTATGGAAGCCTCTGCTCTCATCTGTACCCTTGAAGGTGGAGACGCTCAGCAGGCCTCCCTATTTCCAAGGACCCAGGCCCTCTAGATCCGACTGAACCCCTCACAATAGCCTGGTCTTGGTATGTAGGTGTGGAGATGAGATTAAAGCAAGATAGAAACTGTGAGCATTGTTTAGTCTAGGACCTACTTCTGTCTACTTGACGCTTTGTCTTAATAACACGGATTTTAGTAGGCCTGAGCTTCTTCAGTACGTTTTCTCCCACCAATTAAGATTCTAATAATAGTCACCTAATAATCAGTCACGTATGTGATTTCCTCGGGTATTTAAAAAACAACAACTGCAACACTGAAACCCAGTTTATGTCTTCTAGGCTTTAGAAAATTTGCGTGTATACCTGTGTGAGAAAATCATAGCTGAGAGACATTTTGATCATCTACGCGCAAAAAAAATACTCAGTAGAGAAGACACTGAAGAAATTTCTTGCCGAACATCAAGTAGGAAAAGGGCTGGGAAATTACTAGACTACTTACAAGAAAACCCCAAAGGACTAGATACGCTGGTTGAATCTATTCGGCGAGAAAAAACACAGAACTTCCTGATTCAGAAGATTACAGATGAAGTGCTGAAACTTAGAAATATAAAACTAGAACATCTGAAAGGTAAACTGTTTTAGGTGGCCAAGAATGCATTTTAATGTGACAATGCTTTTATTTTTAACATTTATTTTTAAATTTTTATTTATTTTTAATTTACTTTTGAGAGAGAATGTGAATGAACAAGGGGCAGAGAGAGAGGAAAAGAGAAAGAGGCAGGGAGAGAGAGCCCAGAGCAGGGCTCAAGCTCACCCAATGTGGGGCTCGAACTCACAAACCATGAGATCATGACCTGAGCCAAAGTCAGATGCTTAACCAACTGAGCCACCCAGGCGCCCCTGACAGTGCTTTTAAAAGTAAAATACACGGGTTCCAGGCTGGCTCAGTCAGTGGAGCATGTGACTCTTAATTTCAGGGTCATGAGTTTAAGCCCCACATGGGTGTGGAGCTTATTTAAAATTTAAAAAAAATTTTTTTTTGAAAAATACAAAACAAAAAACCCCAGAAATGATCATTTTGTTAGTATTCAAAAAGTTTCAGCTTCAGAATTACATTTGATTTACATCGTTTTTACCTTATGCCATGTCATTTCATTGGAAAAGTGGACGACTGTCACTCAGTGCTCTGTATTTATATTTATTTAACAATACCATTTACACAAAACTTAACTGTAATGAAGACCCGGGATATGCAGGAACTTGTTTCGAAAGTCAGCAGAATGTCAGGTCAACCTATTCAAACGTAACCCGTGAAAATGCACATCACACACAAAGAACAATATATAGATGAAGTATTTTTAATAAGCCCAGCTCTGATAGTTCTTGTTCCACCAGCTGGTCACAGAGTGAAGTGGTTGGCACATGTTTATAAGAATCATGGTATAGAAGTTCTCCGTAATTTTAAACACTAGAGTCACTGTCTGGCAAGATGAGAGGGGCATGGGAACTGAGGTTGATTAACGGCATAGCAGATTTCACCTCCTGCATTTCGCCCTCACCCTGGAGCACGCCCTCACCAGTTGGAATACTACATAGAATTGCCTGGACTGTTTAAATCCTCCTCTCCCCATAAGCCCCATCTCTCTGACTTTCTCCAGAGCACTTAAGATAAACGTGCATGTGATGTAGCTCTACTCCAGCTGTTCTAGGCACTGGGGATACAGAAATGAATAATTTAGGACTCAGCCCTTAAGAAACTCAGTCTGTAAGTCCATACTGAGACACACTAGAAGTCTTCCCTCCTGAGCCACATTTAAGAAAATCATTCAGGGGCGCCTGGGTGGCTCAGGCAGTTGAGCGTCTGACTTCGGCTCAGGTCATGATCTCAGAGTTTGTGAGTTCGAGCCCTGCATTGGGCTAGCTGCTGTCAGCTCAGAGCCTGCTTTGGATCCTGTCCCTCTCTCTCCGCCCCTCCTTTACTCACACACACTCTCTCTCTCACTCTCAAAAATAAAGAAACATTTTAAAAAATCATTTATGCAGCATGGAAGAGAAATGCTGAATGTATTGTGAAGCTGAAAAGCTATGGGAAAAAATGACATATAAATGTACTTAAAATATAAGACTTTGCAGATTTTACATAAAATTTGTCAACTCAGGAGGTTTTGTGCCTATAGGCAGTTAGGTTAAATAATTGCTAAGCCAAACAGATAAAATTTGTTTGTGTTCATTCTTTTCACCCTGAGACTAATTGTTAGCTATACTCATTGGATGTGGTAAAATTCTTTGATCAGAAGATCCACTGTCATTTAAGTAAACTCTGGTTGTAAACCAGAACATTATTTAATGTGAAGAGACCTGGATTCTAGTTCTCACTTTCTCATGAAGTGGTTCTAGAATGTTGGGCATGACCTAACTGTTTGGGGTCACAATTTTCTCATCCTTAATAGTGAGAAGCTATCCCAAGGGACCACTAAAATCCCTTCCATTTCTAACACCCTATGATCAGGAATCCGTAATTGGTATTAATTAACTCATAGAATTTTAGCATATGCCCCATTTACAGTTTGTTTTTATTACATTTTGTGCCAAAATGTTAAAGAACATTAGTTGTGAAAGCTGTTTCTTACCTTATGAAAAATTTTAGGTGCTACATAATTTTTCCTGGGTCATTCAGTGGTTAAGTATAGAAGTATGCAAATTAAATGTGAATTATAGCATGTCATTTAGCTTCCTTGAGATTACTTCCTTATCTAGGAAATAAAAAGTAATGGTATACTTTTTGGTTGTTGGGATAAGCAAATGAAATGTGAAACCGATTATGACAATTTATAAACTGCCATTTAAATTTCTGGTTGTGTGGTAACTAGCTTGTAATCTTCCAAAACTCACAAGATGAGTATGGGCTGGGATGTTTGTTTGTTTGTTTGTTTTTTAGTGACTTTTTCATTTACATCTGAATAATTTTATCATAGGACTGAAATGTAGCAGCTGTGAGCCTTTTCCAGATGGAGCCACAAACAACTTCTCTAGATCAAATTCACATGAGAGTAATTTCTCTGAAAAACTGAGAGCATCCACTGTCATATACCATCCAGAAGGAGAATCCAGCACGGCCCCCTTTTTCTCTACGGAGTCCTCCCTGAATTTGCCTGTTCTAGAAGTCGGTAGAACTGACAACCCCACCTTCTCTTCGACTACACTTCCCAGACCTGGGGACCCCGGGGCCCCCCCTTTGCCGCCAGAGCTGCAGTTAGAAGAAGGAGGAACTTGTGGAAACTCCAGTGAAATGTTTCTTCCCTTACGATCACGTGCCCTTTCGCGTCAGTGACAGAGATTACAGCCTTTAATTTTTTTTTTAATAATGGCAAAAAATATTTGAAAAGATATGAATCTTTTTATAGAATTGCTAAAATGACTTAACATTTGATATGTGTCTTTTAAAAGGCAATGGAAGCATACTTTGTAAATAGACTCTTAGAATAAAAGAAGCCTCCTCTTAGATAGCTAAAGAAAATCATGTTAATCATGTACTTTTCTGTGTTTTCTGTTCTTTTCCATTTTTGAGGTATTTTGCGTATGTTCTCATTTTTTATGTTTTAAGACTAACTTTAATAGGGAACATTTTTCTATTTGAGAATAGGGTATCAGGCTGGGAATAAGTTTCAGTGCAGTTGTGCTAGAAATTTTGAGGTCTAATAGACCTTTCTAATTCTTCAGCAGTAGATTTTCAGGTTAAACTATTTCTGTATGGAATAAACCCAGTCACTGACACAAAATCTGCCAGTGCACTGCAAAGAATCTCTTTCCCACTCAGTTGGTCTTAGGGACACTTAGAGAGTCCCCTTCTAATGTGGGGGAACATCAGAGAGAGGTGTTGTGGTTGGAGCCACCTGAGATCTCAATTTGCCAAAACACATTTCTTATTCACCTTACTATTAGTACCTTACTAGGATTTTCTTACTATTCCAATTCCTACAGAAAAATCTTGACAAAAGCCTGCTGTTGCATGTAATTTGATGAGATTGGAAAAAAATTTTTTTCTGTGCTTTTCATTCGCTTTTAATGAGGACCACTGTAGTACAAGTTGAAATAACTAGGACAGTGTGTGTGTGTGTGTGTGTGTGAGAGAGAGTGTGTGAGAGACAGTTCTGTCTTAAATACTATTTGGAACAAGTGGACCATTAGCCTGATCTGTCTTTTTGTTACATGACAAAGTTTGTCTAATTTTACACCTTTATAAATTTTATGCTGTCATTATTTTTTATTTAAATTATAATTCTACCTATTTCCTGATTATATGTCTCATATATTTCCATTACTTTGAAAAAGCAGAGCTGGAATGTGCTATTAACAATAAATGTTTTTAAATTGTCGTGCTGTTGTTTTGGAAGTTTCAAGTATTTCAATAGGAAATACATACCTAAAATACTTTTTTATATGTGCCAGTTTTCATAGAAACATTATTTCATGTTATGAGATCAAGTTGCATTTTGAGATAGACCAATGAATTTATCAATCATGAAGACGACTGGCATATTGGCTTTAAAATATTTTTCAAGTCTGCATGATTTTTGTAGTGTAAAATTGTCTAAGGATTATAGGGAAACCTGTCTCATCTTCAGCAAGGCATAAGAAAATAGCATTACATTTGAAAAAAAAGTCTTTAAAAAGCAGAAGCAGGCTTTTCATTTCATTAATTAAAATAAAAATTTGACATGCGGTTACTTTTAAAATTTAAAGAGAATTTATTCAGATCAAAAATAATTCTGTATCACCTCCATTTATAGTTTATAACCCTGAGTTTTCTTTCAGACTGTTAACTATACAGACAATAAAATTAATGTTTTATTAATGTTAACTCAGTCTTTTAGGCTTTCTGAATCCTGTGAAGTCAATTTTTTTTTCCTTTAGACACTGAAAACCACCTATTGCCAAAAATGTATAACTTAGCATGACAGATTGACAGGTTGATGGATGCAGCAATGAGAAAATTACTTTTTACAGATACCATATTATTACTTCAAACAAAGACAACAATTCTGAGCTCGCTTTTTTTTTTTTAATTAGTAGACTTTATTTTTTAGAGTGGTTTCAGGTTTATAGAAAAATTGAGCAGAAAGCACAGAATTCCCAATACCCCCTCTTCCTCTGTTTTCCATTTTCACATCTTGCATTAGTGTGGTATATACATTAGAATTGATGAACTAGTCTTAAAACATTATCAACTCAATAGTTTACACTAGGATTTACTCTACGCTGTACAGTTCTATAGGCTCTGACAAATGCATGAAGTCATGTATCTGCCAGGATAATATCAGACAGGATAGTTTCACTGCCCTGGAAATTTCCTGTGTTCCACTTACTTGTCTTTTCCTCTTCCTTCCACCTTCCAACCCTGGCAACTACTGATTCTTTTATTGTCTCTTTAGTTTTATTTTTCACAGAATGTCACGTAGTGGGAATCATATAGTATGTAGCCTAAGTTTTCCCCATGTCTTTTCATGGTGAGCACACTTTTCCTGAGGTAATTCCGCATCTTTGGTCAATATGTTGCCCTTACGCAAGGTCAAACTCTGGCAAATTAGGAACAGGCCAGGATAATGGCAATTTGTTTGTTTGTTTTTAAGTTGTTTTTGGTTCTGTTTGGGAGTTTTCAGGCTCACTTTGATAAAGTTTTTTATTTTAAGTATTTTATCAATCTTTTGTGCTTCATGATTTTGGCCTCCTGTTTTAGAGATCTTTGCTTATCTTAATGTCATGATGATAGTCTGTGTTTTTTTCTGGAAACTTAGTTGTTTTAGTGTCACAATTGGCTATGTAATTCATTAAAAAGTGATTTCTGTGTATAGTATAAAGTAGAAGTCAAATCTTACAGGTACTCTGTTTTTCCCTATGCAGTATAAAAAGAGAACCGAAAGTTCCTGGCTCTGGCCTTACCTTATATCAGTGGATAAACATACCTGCTTTTGACTTTGAGGAAAGCAAACCAAGAAGCAAATCAGTCTGTGGTTGTTCAGTGTAATCTCATGAAGACTATCTGAATGGAGGGCTAAACTCCGGATAAAGTAAATGACCCAAAATCACACCGCTATTTAAGATTAAAATCCAGGGCTGTTTGGCTCCACAGTCCATGGTCTTCCCACAACTCCATGCTCTTAGTGAAAGGCAAAAGATAAAAAGCATTTCAAGAAGGAGGCCTGTCTTGTTAAAAGGTCAGGTAAGAAGCTGTCACACAAAGACTGTTGGCAGCTCTGATAATAGGGACTCATGTTACTCAAACTGAGTACCCCAACCCCAGAGGCCCTCCACAGTGAGCCAGTTTTAAAAGCCACAGGATTAGTGTGATAATCTTAGTGTCAGTTTTACTCCATAATAAGTAATTTTAAATATTTTTATATATTGAAATAAAAGCTATATTAGGGACTAGTATGTAAAATTTGCATACATTTTCAAGATATTATACTGTGTGTCCCCCAAATTTTATGCTCATGGGGCTCAGTGACACACTGTATCAGGTTTACGTACAGAGGGGCTGGAGACTCAGGTCAACCACATGAGCAATCAACTATGTCTATGTAGCCTTAATCCCAGTTAAATCTCTGGACACTAAGGCTTGGGTGAGCCTCCTAATTGGCAACACTCTGTGCATCCTGTCACATATCTTTGGTGCAAGAAGTTAATACTGTCTACACCCCAATGGGGTGAGGACATTGGAAGCTCTGTGTGTGGAAGTCTCCTGGACTCTACCCAATGTACCTCTTTCCTTGGCTGATTTTAATTTGTATCCATTTGCTGCAATAAATCACAACCAAGACCAAAACAGCTTTCTATGAGTTTTGTGAGTCCTTGCAAAAATTTGCAATTGCTATCAGAAGTGAGGATGCATCAGGGGCGCCTGGGTGGCTTAGTCGGTTGAGCGTCCGACTTTCGCTTCGGTCATGATCTCACGGTTCGTGGGTTCAAGCCCCGCGTCGGGCTCTTTGCTGACTGCCAGCTCGGAGCCTGGAGCCTGTTTCAGTCTGTGACTCCCTCTCTGACCCTCCCCTGCTCACGCTGTCTCTCTCTCTCTCTCTCCTAGAAATAAATAAAAAAACATAAAAAAAAAATTTAAAAAAAGTGAGGATGCATCAGGGAAATATAAATCAAAACCACACTGAGATACCACCTTACACTGGTCACAGTGACTCAAATTAACAACTCAGAAAACATGTTGGTGGGGATGTGCAGAAAGAGGAACCCTCTTGCACTGTTGGTGGGAATGCAAACTGGTACAGCCACTCTGGAAAACAGTGTGAAGGTTTCTCAAAAAATGCAAAATAGAACTACCCTACAACCCAGCAATAGCACTACTAGGAATTTATCCAAAGGATACAGGAGTGCTGATTCGTAGGGGCACATGTACCCTGATGTTTATAGCAGCACTACCAACAATAGCCAAACTGTAGAAAGAGCCTAAATGTCCATCAAGCGATGAATGGATAAAGATGTGGTTTGTATATATACGATGGAATACTACTCAGTGATGAAAAAGAATGAAATCTTGCCACTTGCAACGACATGGATGGAACTGGAGGATATTGTGCTAATATAAGTCCATCAGAGAAAGATAGCATATGTTTTCACTCATATGTGGAATTTGAGAAACTTAAGACCATGGGGGAAGGGAAAGAAAAATAAGTTACAGAGTGGGAGGCAAACCATAAGAAATTCTTAAATACAGAGAACAAACTGAGGGTTGATGGGGATTTGGGGAGCAGGGAAAATGGGTGATGGGCACTGGATGTTGAATAAGTGATGAATCACAGGAATCTACTCCCGAAGCTAAGACTACACTGTATACACTATATGTTAGCTAACTTGACAATTTTTTTTTAAAGTGAGGATGCTTTTGGGTACCCCCAAACTTTGCACTTTGGGGCCATCATCTTCCTCTGTCAACAGAGGTACTTGGATGGAAAATTTTGAGAAAACACTTATCCAAAACTACACTCTCGTAAATTATTATAATCCACATTATTTACTGATCATCTATTCAGTGAAAGGCACTAAGCTGGGCTTCAGGAATATAAAATTAACAAAACATAGTCCAGCTCCTCCCCTGGGAAGGAGGAGTGAACAAGACAGACATAGCTCTGCCCCCTGGAGCCTACCCCCAGCAGCAACAGCAAGTTATGAATGCGTATATCATCTAAATGAGCAGACAACCTTCCCTGGGCACTGTAAACGTTTACAGCCAACTTCATTTTCATTTAAGTATCTTCCTTCTTAGATCACCAGGAGAAGTAAAAGATTTCTGGTTTCCATGGTGACAAGGTTATATCATTTACTAAGAGAGGGAACACAGGCAGAAACAAGTCATATAGAAAGACAAGTTACTGATCTAGTAATCGAGTGTTTGAGGCCTCAGCAGGAAGCTTCACGTGGAAAGTTTAAGATCCAGGTGGAGATCTGGTCCAGAGCTTGGAGGGAAAGATTGAAGCTAGAGACCCAGATTTGGGAGTCACAATCATAAGGTAGCTAATGCCATGGAAAGAGATAGGCTGACTTACAACTTTGTAATGCCCTCTACAAAATATTGTACTGTCAAAAGATGGTATAATATGTTGGGAAACACCAGCGCTTTAGGACCATACAGGACAAAACAAGAATGGAAGGAAGCGGACAATGAGAAGCCAGAGACTTTTTCTTTTGTTTTGTTTTGTTTTGTTTTGTTTTGTTTTGTTTTTTACAAATAGTTTATTGTCAAATTAGTTTCCACATAACACCCAGTGCTCATCCCTACAAGTGCCCTCCTCCATGCCCATCCCACCTCCCACCCACATCCATCAGTCCTCAGTTTTTGTCAGCATTCAAGAGTCTCTCATGGTTTGCCTCTCTCCCTTTCCCCCACCATTTCCCCACTTCTTCTCCCCCTTGTTCCTCCGTCAAGTTCCTCCTAATCCTCCTATACGTGCAAACATATGATATTTGTCCTTCTCTGCCTGACTTATTTCGCTCAGCATAACACCCTCAAGGTCCATCCATGTTGCTACACGTGGCCAGATTTCATTCTTTCTCATTGCCGTGTAGTATTCCATGGTATAGATAAACCACATCTTCTTGATCCATTCATCTGTTGATGGACACTTAGGCTCTTTCCATGTTTTAGCTATTGTGGAGAGTGCTGCTATGAGCATTGGGGTACATGTGCTCCTGTGCATCAGCATTTCTGTATCCCTTGGGTAAATTCCTAGCAGTGCTATTGCTGGGTCATAGGGGAGTTCTATTGTTAGTTTCCTGAGGAACCTCCATACTGTTTTCCAGAGGGGCTGCACCAGTTTACATTCCCACCAACAGTGTAGGAGGGTGCCCGTTTCTCCACATCCTCGCCAGCATCTAGAGTTCTCTGATGTGCTCATTTTAGCCACTCTGACTGGTGTGAGGTGGTATCTCAGTGTGGTTTTGATTTGTATTTCCTTGATGAGGAGGGATGCTGAGCATCGTTTCATGTCTCTGTTGGCCATCTGGATGTCCTCTTTGGAGAGGTGTCTGTTCATGTCTTCTGTCCATTTCTTCACTGGGTTGTTTGTTTTTCGGGCGTGTAGTTTGGTGAGTTCCTTATAGATTCTGGATATTAACCCTTTATCTGATATGTCATTTGCAACTATCTTTTCCCATTCCGTTGGTTGCCTATTAATTTTCTGGGTTGTTTCCTTGGCTGTGCAGAAGCTTTTAATCTTGATGAGGTGCCAATCATTTATTTTTGCTCTTGATTCCCTTGGAGAAGCTAGAGACTTTGAGACCCGTTGACGGTGGATGCAGTTAATCCAAGAGGAATTTCATTAGAGAGTTGTTCAGAGTCCACTGGAAATGAGGTCAGTAAAGAATTTTGTTTGTGACATGATAAGTCCACGACCCATACAAGTGTTCCAGGATGACTGAGGGAAGCAAGCATACTGAGAGTAATTTTTAAAGAGATGCAGTGCAATCAGAAGAAATCCGGGTGTCTCTGAGCAATGGCTAAGGTGAAGTGGCAGTGAAAAAACAAATTCTTATCTCTTGTCTGCCTTTAAAAAAACTTCTTATTGAATGCTGAAAGCTTTGCTGGGACCACTGATTCAGTACCTGCCTCTTCTCAGTATTCTTCAGAATGGTGCATAAGCAGCCCTTGCTAGGCAACGTGCGCGCCCCGCCTCCAGCCTAAATCCCCGGCCGAGAGGCAGGAACTCAGGGAGGCCGTTAGGGGGCGCAGGCCCCAAACGCCTCTGTGAGACTTGGGGCGGAGCCAACCGTGGGGCGGGCTCTGGAGCAGCTTCCGGCTTCCGGCAGAGCCTACCGTCGTCGCGCGCAGCCGTCATGGCGGCCGAGGAGAAGGACCCGCTGAGCTATTTCGCGGCTTATGGGAGCAGCAGCTCAGGCTCCTCGGGCGAGGAGGATAATAGCGAGCCGGAGGAAACAAGTCGCAGGGCCCCCGATCCTGCGAAGTCGGCGGGAGGCTGTGGGAACAAGGAGGAGAAGCGGCTGCCGGGACCCGACGAACTGTTCCGGAGCGTGACTCGCCCGGCCTTTCTCTACAATCCGCTCAACAAACAGATAGACTGGGAGAGGCACGTCGTTAAGGCTCCTGAGGAGGTGAGGTTCCCGACCCGATTTCCCGGTCGTAGTCCCGGCCACCGCCCCCCCTTCCTCCTGAGCCCTCTCCTGGGGACCGGCAGTCTGTTCCCCCACACGCAGTCACCTTCCTGCGGGTTGCCGCACCGCCCCCTCCCACCTCCAGCCCTGGGGAGCCCGGGCCCCCTTCCCCAGTCTGGTGGGTGTCTGACAGACCCGCAGCCCCCGCCCCCTTGTGAGGAGACCCAACCTCCGCGCTCGGTGCCCCGACCCCGCGCTGCGAGGACTAACGGTGGTGACTCCCCCGCCCCCCCCGCTGCAGCTTCTCCCCGAGACCCCTCCCCTTTGACGCCGAAGTGCCTGCGGTGCTGCTTCCAAGACAGTGTCTGCTGCAGCCTCCTGAAGGGGTCAGCCTTGGCGTAGTATCTCTGAGACTGGATTCTTCTTTGGTAATTAAAAGTTATTAGCTTTATTCATATAGGGAACCCTTTGGCTTTTCACTTAACAGTATTGTGATTTTGATGGAAAAAAAAATGTGTCTTTAAACCTTAAAAAAAAAAAAATCAGCCTGAACAATAAGCGAACGGCAGGGAGGTGTATGTGCCCACACGGATTGTAGGAACCTCGGTTCGTCACGGTGCGTCTTAATGTGTTTGCTTAACAGCCTCCAAAGGAATTCAAAATATGGAAGTCAAACTATGTACCACCTCCCGAGACCTACACTACTGAGAAGAAGCCTCCCCCTCCAGAGCTGGATATGGCAATAAAATGGTCTAACATATATGAGGACAATGGTGACGATGCCCCACAGAATGCTAAGAAAGCTAGACTCCTGCCGGAAGGGGAGGAGACCGTGGAATCAGGTAAGGCGAGTCAGACCCTCTGATAATACCTTTTCGGCCCTTTGATGAATTTTAAAAGGAGGAGACATTTAAGGAGTGAAATTTAAATCTAGCGCTTTACCAAATTAATTATGATTATTTTTTGCTGTATTTTTGAGAAAGATCGTATATGTTAGGCTTGGAAGTGAGGTCTCTGAAAGCTCAACTTACTGTGTTTTAGAAAAAGATTGTGTTATTCAGGCTTTGAAGCAAAATCTCTGCTCTCCCAACAGATAGTATGTGTGATTTATGGTGCTTTGTTACTACAGAGCCACTTCTTTCAAGGACTCTTTCTTGTGACTGCAGCTTTGAAGCTCTGACGGCTTCATTTCATAATAAAGCAATTGCGGTTTAAAGCCAGAATTAGTGTGATAAAGTGAATTTAATTGAGTATCACTATGTGGTAATAGGAAGGTAATGACTTCGTTGACTTGTTTATGATATCGTAATTTCATCTCTTACTTAGAGTGTAACTAACCACAGTAATGTCTGCTTTTACCCAAACCACCCCCCAAATTCCATCCTTCACACTGCAGCTAGTGATCACTTTCTAAAAGTCCTGTCTGATTATGTAACTCACCTGCTTAAAACCCTTCACCAATAGCATAGAGTCACAGCCTTCTGATAGCCCTGCCTTTCTCTCCACCTTTATTTCAAATGGTGCTTTTTTTTTTTTATCACTTTAAGATCCTAAAATTGAAAACTAAATAGACTGTGCTATCTTACGGTTCCATGCCTTTCAGTATATGTTGCACATTAGTCTGGAATGTTCTTCCTTCCCTCTTTGGCTGGTAAACTCATTCATCCTTCAAAATCCAGTTCAAAGAAAAAAAAAGTCAACACCCCTCCCTCAAATTATTTGTTCCTCTGTACCTTATATGTGCTAATGCTGTTGATTGCACTTATCATTCTTTATGAGATTATTTGTTCATAAATCTGTCTCCTTTATGAAAAGGAGTTCCTTTACAGTTTGTAGTACATTTTAAATCCTCTGTGGCAGGGCCGCCTGGGTGGCTCAGTCAGTTGAGCATCCGACTTCAGCTCAGGTCATGATCTTATGGGTCTGTGAGTTGGAGCCCCACCTCGGGCTCTGTGCTGACATCTCAGAGTCTGGAGCCTGCTTCGGATTCTGTGTCTCCCTCTCTCTCTCTGCTCCTCCCCCACTGGTGCTCTGTCTCTCTCAAAAATAAACATTAAAAAAATTTTTTTAAATAAATACTCAGTGGATAATTATTGAATTATGCTGAATAATATTAAGTTATACTAAATTTTTATGAAAGAACATGCCAGTTAAATTTCTGGTGGTTTCATGAATCAAGATCTACTCAGCTCCTTTTACAACCAGCTAGAGTGTTTTGTTTTAAGAAAAAGGATAACTAACTGGTATTTCTTCCATTTTGATTCTTTTTGACTTTTCCATTTCTTTTACTGATGTTACAATGTGGATTAGAAGTCACTTGGGGTGCCAGGGTGGCTCAGTTGGTTAAAAGCATCCGACTTCAGCTCAGGTCATGATCTCACGGTTCGTGGGTTCAAGCCCCCCGCCACCCCCCCCCCCGAACCTACCCCCCCATCGGGCTCTGTGCTGACAGCCAGTTCAGAGCCTGGAGCCTGTTTCAGATTCGGTATCTCCCTCTGTCTCTGACCCTCCCCTGCTCATGCTGTCGTTCTCTCTCTGTCTCTCTGTCTCAGAAATAAATAAAACATTAAAAAAAAAAGAAGTCACTAACGAAGGCATATCTTCAGTAAATGGCATCCTTTTAGAGATGCAAAAATGAAGTTGGCATTTTAAAAACCCCATATTATAGTATGGTATTTTATGTAATAACACTTTTGCATAAATTCTGTTTAATCGTTACAACACCTTGTGAAACCACATAGGGAAATGTGGAAAGAGAGCTTCATGTGACTTGTCCACTTTCACAAAATTAGAAAATGTCAAGCTGTAAATTGGTACTTTAATACAATTTTTAGAATTTATTGTCCTTAGCAGGCTAGTACAGAAGTGGTATATCATTCATTATTACTATTTTATAGACAAGGAAACAGTCTCAGATTAAAGAATTGTCCTAAGCAAATTCACCCAGCTAAGAAGAGGCAGAATAAGAAAAATTCAGGGCTTTAAATGGAAATGATGCCTCATTAATTTGGGGTTTAGTCTCAGTGTTTTACAAGCTGTAGTGCTTGTAACTATTTCATAGGAAGAAAGCCCACTAGAGTTGATATTCAAGCAAGGCACCATAGGTCTTTGTTCCTGTATGGAAAAAGTGAGGGTTATATAGCAGGACAAACCGAAAGAATTCTCTTTTTTTCCAGCTTATTGAGTTCAGATAGGTATGGGAATATTGTAATTCCCATGGATAATATCTGTTCTTTTATTATGTGATGGTCCTCCGTCAGCAAGTGTATATGTATATAGTATCAACAAAAGAACGCAGTGCTCAGACAGTTGAATCCTGGATCATAAAGTTAAAAGATAATCCTGTGACCTCCTGGCACAGAGCCTGACGAGGGGCTTCATCTCACAAACAATGAGATCATGAACTGAGCTGAGACACTTAACTGAGCTACCTAGGTGCTCAGATCCTGAAATCTGTAGTTTGAACTCTAATGTTGGTTTACCATTTCAGAATCCCATACTGTGTTCACAGATCACTACAAAATTAATCATTTTTTACCTGTATTTTTTTAACTTACAGAATATTTTGTTTAAGAAATTCCATTCTCTTAAATTCTCTGATTTTTAGATTATTGTTTTTACGTTTTCTTCTCATTTTTTTAAATGTTTATGTTTGAAAGCGAGAGAGCAGGGGAAGGGTAGAGAGAGAATCCCAAGCAGGCTCTGTGCTGTCAGTGCAGAGCCCAACATGGTGCTGGATCGCACTAACTGAAGTCAGAACCTGAGTGGGGATCACAGAGTTGGTCACTTAACCAACTGGCACCCAGGTGCCCCTTCCTTCTCATTTTTTGCCCTTGGCCTGTTTTTGCCAGTTAACTTTGTCCATACTTTTAAAAAAAATTTTTTAATGTTTATTTTTTTAAAAAATTTAAAATGCTTATTTATTATTGGCAGGGAGAGACAGAGTGTGAGAAGGGGAGGGGCAGAGAGAGAGGGAAACACAGAATCCAAAGCAGGCTATAGGCACAGAGCCCACCGTGGGGCTCAAACCCATGACCCATGAGATCATGACCTGAGCTGAAGTTGGACGCCAACTGACTGAGCCACCCAGGTGCCCCAGTTATTTTGAAAGAAAGAGAGAGTGACCGTGTGAGCGGGGAGAGGCAAAGAGAGAGGGAGACACAGAATCTGAAACAGGCTCCAGGCTCCCAGGTGTCAGTCAGCACAGACCCCAATGCAAGGCTTAAACCCAGGAACCATGAGATAGGACCTTAGACAAAGTCAGACGCTTAACCAAGTAAGCCACCCAGGCACTCCTTTTTCTTTTTTTCTTTTTTTTCTTTTTTTAAGATCTGGAAAGATTCAGAACTCACCAAGTCTTGCTACCTACTTGTGCTTCTTGTTTGGTGATTGGGAAATGCAGATCACCAAGGCTTAGATAGTAATTTGTAGCTTTATTGACATGTACTTAATGGCGAAATCCTAGCTAAAGTACTAATGCTTTTCCTGTTTTGTTTTTTAAAGAATATAGAAAGTTCGTATTAATAAAGTAAACTTATTTACCTGAGGTGGCATGAATTCCATATTTCTTACTAGTACGTCATCTGTGGGTATTTGGCACAGAGTAGAAACTCGCTAATCTTGATAAATCAACATTTTAGGATGGTTTTGTTTGGTTTGTTTTTCCTGTTCTGGTTTTTAAGGCAATGCCTTCTTATGTCACTAGGTGGCATTAGCTCTTCAAATTACTGATAGGAAATTATTTTTGAACCTCAGTAGTTTGTTTTTGTTAATTCAGTAAATTTACTTATATTTGACAGATTAAAAGAAGTGTCTCAGGATCTTTTTTTAAATAATATGTCAACAGTAGATTTTATAGCAGAGTTAGAAAGTAATTTCAGTTTTTATACATTGAAAATAATCTCAAGCAATGATGATGATTAAACTCCAATTTAAAAAAACCCAAAGGCGTATTTGAGCTGCGTGTCACATCAGTTGGTTTGTACATTATTTTTGTGTATGTGTGATAAACTAATGATTAAAACTCTGGTTTGTGAATTCCTAGGATGATTCATTGAATTTTATTTTGTCTTACTGCGTATATAAATCCATAAGTGCTTTATGAAATAAAGGATAACATTGCCATACTGGGCTTGAAGATGAATGAACATGAATCACCTGCTATTGTTTCTAACTATTCTCCATATCAACAAAGGAGATATTCTGAGTATGGTGCAGTTAGGAGAAGGGAACTGAAGGCTTAAGGTTGTAAATTTATTTCCTCCCAAAGGAGTTTATGGTGTGATATCATCGTCCCCAATTTTTTATTTTTAAAATATTATTTGTTTATTTATTATTCTATTAAGTAAGCTCCACTCCCAACATGGTACTTGAACTCATGAACCCGAGATCAAGAGTTATATGCTGTACTGAATGAGCCAGTCTGGTGCCCTAGCTACCCCAGTTTTTTAATAGGAAGGCCCCTTTCAACATCAAAATATTTTATAGACCACCATATGATAGTTGTTGAACTTTGGGTATCTATTGTTATGAAAGGAAAGTCAAAAATGCAGTGGATTCAGTAATGTGCTTAAAATACATTTATATTTTAAAATTAATTCCTTCTACATTTCATTCTATCTGGATATAGTTCTTAAAGCCACACATTTGTTCAGAGAGAATGTTTCAGTGAAACATCTACCTGTGAGTGCTTTTTAAATTTCAAAATAATACGGGTGGAGGTTGTAAACAGAGAGGGGAGTTGTTCTGTGGGCAGAGAAAGCAGATTGGAAGGGAAAGAACAGTTGATAACCACTTAATAGTGTCATGGTTGGATCGATACTCTTGCTAAAAAGAGTACAACGTATTCCATTTTGAATCTACTCCAAAGTATAGAGTATTTAAGTATACACAAGATACAAGTTGTAGAATATATTTAGGAATAACTTTTTTTCAGATCTGATTTTCTCATTTTAAACTATCTTAATACAGCACTAAAAGTTCACTTTGTGAGTTTTGTATAACACTACAATTAAAAAATTTCTTATTTCTACCTGCACTTTAAAATCATAGTTCTAAAAGTTAATTTTTGGTTTTTATTAGGAAACTGAAAGAAACATAAGTTGAAGATCATGATTTTGGTCTAAAGTCAGTGAAATTTTAATACTTTTTTAAAAATTACTGATTGAAACTTTTCCTTTCCTGTTTAAAGATGATGAAAAAGATGAGCATACTTCTAAAAAGCGCAAAGTAGAACCAGGAGAATCTACAAAGAAGAAAAAGTAGAAAATGACAAATCTCAAGAATTTCTGGACTGTGAAACTTGTTGAAATGGTTTTTTTGGGCAGATTAAGTTGATATTTTAAATTATTATGAGACAACATCTCCATGAAAATATATGTTAATTAATAATAAGTATTGCTGTGGGAACTTTCCACTGTAGAATTCATTTTTTTTATTTAAAACTTTATTTAAAACTCAAGTGGTGATTTGTGATTGTGAAATTGACAACACTTGGAAGCATTCTTGCTATCACAGAATTGGTGACATACTTCGAAAGTTTTGTCACATGTCGACATGCCAATGTTCTATGAACCTTTTATAAAGGAGTATATTTTTAAAGTAAATATATTGTACTGTGAACTTGTAGGGTGCTTTTCAACAGTGTTTGTACAGTGTAAATAGATCATGGAAATAAAATTACTTATTCAATATTGCTATTAATTACATAACATTAACATTTGAATATTTGTCTGTGACAAGTACCCTCTTTGCCATGTGGTGTTTTAATAGTGTTGCCATCTCGGGAGTGCCTCTTGTGTTCCAGGTGCTTTGTGGTGCTTTTTCTCTGCTCTTCAAATAGCCTGGGAAGGCAGGGATTAGTGGCTTCATTTTATAATAAAGAGAGATTAATTTATTCAAGGTTCCACAGTGAGTGACCAAGGATTTTGTGATTTAACTCAGGATACTTGAACTCCAAAACCATCAAATTAAGCCACCTACCCACCACTCAAAATTTAGTTCTCTTGTAAAGGAATTGCCTTGTAGGGTACTCTCTGGTAAGTAGGGAGATCTTCTTCCCTGATTGTATTACCGCACCTTACCACGTAAGCCTTATATGATGGGTTTTCGTTAATTTCCCTGTTAAATAGTTTGCTGAAGATAAGGATTCTCTATAAAGAATTGCCTGATGTGGCAAATAAAACTACAGGACACACAGTTAAATTTGAATTTTATAGTAACAAATAATGTTTTTACATGTGTAATATTTGGGACAACTTACACTAAAACTTTATCTGAAACTCAAATTTAATTGAATATCTTGTGTATTATCTGGCAACACAACTTCTATTGTATGGTCTCTACATGGTTCCTATTTTAATGCTTTGCATATAGTCATAAACAAAATCAGCAGGGGGTGGTCAGGAAATGAATAATCTTTGATTTTACTTCTACAGTCCAAAATGCAGTGTGCTTATTTGTAGCATTTTAAACTATAAAAAGGAGAGGTTATCAATCATTACATGATTCTTACTGCCTTTAAGAGCCAAGACTTAATTACAGGATACTGCACATGTAGTGTATGAGAAAAAGACATCAGTCTTTGAGTTTAAAAAATATCCCAAGTCCAGTTGTTTTTCTCGATACTGGAAACCAGTATTTGAAAAACTGTAAAATTCATTTAGTTAGAACATGGATCAAGTAGATTAAAATCTGTAAAAGTCATTATAAATGATGCTAGCCATGGTGTTTTGTGGAATGAGGAAAGACCGTATCAGTATGATGTCTTCAGTAGATCTCAGACTTAACAAAAACTAACTGTATAGCTGCTTATTCTCTAGGTTTATAGCTATATGATTCCCCAAATTGAAGTAATTCGTAAAGCAAGAGGTTTTTTGTTTAAAGCTTTTCCATATGGACAATTTGGAGGGCTGTGGTATTATATTAAGGAATGACATCAAGTGAGAAAGCATGACTCCAGTGTGACACCAAACCAAACAAATAGGATTACAAATTTGAGGCTGTGATTCCCAAATCTGGGGAAGTTTGTAGTCTGGATACGTGTATTAGTGAAGCAGATATCTCAAGAAGCTACTGAAATATTACAAGATTAAAAAACTAGCATGAAGGCACACCTCGTACAAAAACAAAACCAGCAAGCCACTGTCTGGAAATCTAACCTCTTTTTATCACCCATTGGTTCAGCTCCCAGCTTATATTGATTAGTTTATGACGACAAACTAGATCACTAGATCAGTCCCTAGTGGTGCTTTGAGACCCCCTTCTAGGTAACAGAGTGAGGGTGGCAGGGAGGAATAAATACCACATTTTTGGAAAAGGGATTGATACCTTAGGACAAGTAGTGGCTATACTTGTGAGATCATGAAGTACCTGCTGGGAGATGTCTACCTATGTGAGTACAGGTCAAGGTAGTTTTAATTTAGGAAGAAGGCTAAATATTTTGGAGCAGTCCGAATCTGCCATTTGGGTTTCATTGGGTTTCTTTTCAGTATATAGCCAAAAACGGGAAAGGGGTCTCCAATCTGTTTCTCTTTTAGAGAATCAAGTCACTTAATATTCCTGACTGTTTCCTCATCTATAAGGAAATTAAGCCACATCAGGGATAAATGGCAAGTGTGAATAGCATTATGGAATTTTGTGGAAAACATTCTAACTGGAATTGAACATTATTGAGAAAAATTGACACTGCCTAAACTTATTTTAGGCAAATACTACCTAAACTTATTTGCAAACTTGCAACTTCTTAGTTTAAACGCTTAATGCTGTGTAGTGCTTTTGAGTTCACAAAACTTCATCACATAGCATTTTATTTTCCAAGAGCCTAATGAGGTAGATTTTATCATTTCCAAATTAGGGAAACTAAAGAAACAGACCCAGCCAGCTAAAGCAATCTACCCACGAATATGCTTAGTTAGCTTCAGAATCTGCAATCCCATTCTACGTAAGATTTATGGAGTACCTGTTGGTGCAAAGCGTTGTGTTAGGAACAAAGGATCCATCTTTATCTAAGCAAAGTCACGTTGGTAGCCATTAGGAAAAGGGACATGCAGGGACTGAGTCCGACCAGTTGCAGTAATTCAGTAGAGTGGTAAGGATCTGCTTAAACTAAGGTGTCAGGAGAAGAGACAGGGATATGAGGAACTAATAGCTGCTCGGTTGGATATAAAGGCAGCCAACTATACATATATTTAATTAAAATATTAATGGGCTAATGCAGGTTTGAACATGACCTACATATAAAACATGTTGCCATACCACACAAAGCCCTACTAGAGATATTTTTAAAACAATTATTTTTACAGGTATCTGAACTCAGCAACTTTGAATAAGTCAAATTTTTGACTACTTAAAACCATAGCTGGACTTTAAAATGTATCATTGGTGGTATTTTTGATGTTAGTGTTCTTGTGTCCATATTCACTGTTATTTCACTACTCCCTTATCACTTAGTACAGAAGTTCCAGACATTCTTAGGAAAAAAATGTCAAATTCCCAGCAAGTGTTTTGGACTTTTCATTAAATTCTAAAGCGTTCTCTTTTTTCCTTTACATAGTTTTCCCGATTTGAAGCATGGCATTGCATTGTAATGCAAAAAAAAAAAAAAAAAAAAAAGCCAAGAAGCATTTATTTGTATGTATAGTCCACAGAAGAGGGACTCTGCCTGTTCATTGACTAGAACAATGCCTGACACATAGAAGGCACTCGATATAACTCCTAATTGGTGATGGTGAACTGAATGTTTCCCCTCTGGTTTAGGGGTGCTCCTCCAGAGGCTTGTGTTTCCAGTTATATGGGCCAATAAATCTTAACAATTTAAACCAGTTTGAGTTCAGTTTTGTCATTTTCCATCCAAACTATCGTAATGTGAAACTCTTTTTCCTCCCTTGGTTTCTTATAAGGTCCCATGTTATTCTGGTTCTCTATTCTCCCTGGCTCCTTCACTTCCAATTGCCCTCGAATGCCAGTGTGGCCTATGTTGTTGCCTTCTCATTCTCTACACTGGTTCTTGACGATTTCAGCCAAGTTCACGGCTACCATAATCAGTGACACGATGATGGTTCCCTACACTATATGGTATGTCAGAATGTTCTTATAAAACCCTAGGTTTCTGTATCCAATTGTACTTCTCGGCTTGAGTCTCAGAGGCCGCTCACATTACGTATGTCCAAAACCAAACACATTGTGTCAAAACCCATACCACCACCTCCTATATTTTGTTTCTGATTAATAGAGTCCCCATCAACCCAAAAATCTGCCCTCTGCCTTACATGGGTTTAGTTACTAAATCCTAAGGGTTCTCTCCCCTCATTCTCACAAACTTACTAAGCCCCCTCTAATGAGTCATTTATTTGCAGCTATGCTAGTTGCAAAGTTCTGTGTGTTCAGTTGCACCATTTGCTTAGCCTGGCCTTTCTCATTCTACTTAGTGAACTCCCTCTTATACTCCAAGATAAGAATCCAGGTACGTATTCCCTCTCCTGTGCACCTTGTTCTTTATCTCTGCTTCTGCACCTGTCCATTGCTCTTCCCTATGCTCAGCACCAAATAGCCGATATTAGCTGAGTACTTAATGAAACCAGCAACAAAAGGGTTAATGGGACTACTCACAGCTGCAGACTAATAAGTGCAGCTGCAACTTTTTACCCAGACTTTCTTCATACCCCTTCAAATCTTTCTGACACTCCTCCTTCAAGAGGTGGATTGGAGGCTTGCCCTCCAGTCTCCTGTTTGGCTGTCTGTCAAATAAGCCCCCTCCTTGCTGCAAACTCAGTGTCTCAGCGATTGTCTTTGCTGTGAATTGGGCGGATGAACTTGGATTTGATTGCATTACTATGTGCCAGGCATTGTTCTTGGGGCTTTACATGTATTAACTCATTTAATTTGATGAGGTAGGTGCTATTACTAGCTCTACATACCCCCGGGGAGAAAACTGAGGTACAGAGAGGTTAAGTGGTTTGCTCCAGGTGGTGGAGCTGGGACAACAGGGTGTCTGGCTCCAGACCGAGCACACTCCTTTGGCCACACTGGAGGGCAGGAAGGAGCGCCTGAATGAACCCATAGCTTGATTTATTAATTTGTATTTGTTTCATTCAAAGGATGACTTACCCCTAGAAGGCACTCAGAATACAAATTTTGGAGAATTAATGAATCCCAAACCAGTTCACTAACCAGAGGCATAGCATTTGCTTAACGCTATGGAAAGTCAATAAGTAAGTGTTTTAGGAAGATTAATGCCTATTTCAATGACTTAATACCTTATTTATCACATATTTGGAGTATTTTAATTGAAAGCCTTAAAGCAATACAGCTGAGGAGATATCCTTTCCCCTCCAAAAATATTTTTTAGCTTTTCAGCTCTTTTTCAGGCTACATTCTTTTAAGCAAAGTGAAATAGTTTTAAGTCATAAGTTCTGCCTCATATATTTTTTCTAACCTTTCAAACGATGGCTTGAGTTTAGAATCATAGCACCAAGGCGTGGGAAGGCCTCCAGAGGCCCTCTGGTACAGCCTTGCCGGAATATAGGACTGTCTTCTCTGTGATCCTTGTCTCTCATTTCTAGGTTCACAGATGAGCCCACCAAATGACAGGTTTACAGGCTGGATTTGAAAAGCCACTTCCTGTGTGTCTGTAATATTTTGGTTCTCAGGGTCTGGAACTCTTGTTTCTTTCCCTGTGTTTACCATTTTCTGAAAAAGAAAAAAACAGCAATTGGTGCATATTATTGAAGTAAAAGTACAGCTCTGTTCCCGGCATAATTACCTGTCTTTGTTCCTACGTGGGCCCAAAATTCCAGCAACCTTCCCTAGCACGCTGGGGAGTCTGCATTAACATTTTAAATTTAGAAGTCCTGACAGAAACTGCAATGGAATAACAAAACAATCACTTCCAGCTAAGGAGGGGACTTGCCTGCAAGCAGAGTTATAAGCAAGCCAACTCAGAATTAACTCTGCTGAGCCTCATATGCTAGGAGGAACTCAAGATCCTTTTGCTACATTTTGCTAGCTTTCAGTTTGGACACACACACACACACACACACACACACACACACACGCACGATGTCCAGACACACACACACACACACACACACACACACACACACGATGTCCAGAGAACCTTCCTCTCCTCTTTTTACCAATCACACACACACACACACACACACACACACACACACACACACGCACGCACGATGTCCAGAGAACCTTCCTCTCCTCTTTTTACCAATCTCTGCCTCAGGCCTTCCCCTCCAACCCTCTCCTCAAGGGCAAAAAGTGGCCTACAAGCCTTAGTAGTAAAATTTCTTTCATAACATCTGACGTCCACATGTCCAGTATATGAGGCATAAACTCTTCATTTTTTTTCTTTTAATTTAGACTTAATTACTTGCACTCCAAATCCTGCCTGTCCCTGCATCCCCCCATACCAAACTAATTAGAACAATGATCTGAGCCATCTGTGGCTACAGATCTGTTAAAGCCTGTTATTGAGGTTAACAGATGAGAGGGTTAATTTCTCTAGATGGCTCCACAGTTGGTGAAGAAAGATAACAAGGCTTTATATTAGTAGAGGGCTTTTGAGCTTTCAAACTGTTTTTTCTCAACACCAAGCTGCCACCCAGGAGAAGAGCTTACTCTGGGGTTCCAGCCTGTCTGGAGGTAAGTGACTTAACTCAGAACTGAAGCACCTGGAATTCACAACTACTTGTGAAAGAGGGCCTCTCCCCACCCCACTGCTTCAACTGTGTAGAAAAGGTTTTGATGCCTTTTTAAAAAGAAATAGCCAGGTAGTAGCCTCTGCTGCCAGCTTGGAGCTGTTGACTTAAACCTTAAACACTAAGCGGCTTTTTCTAGATGATTAGACCAGGCAGGGCTCTGTATATTTTTAACTTAAATTCACCCAGTCACTTTGGCTAATTATAAATTACCCAGGTTTTTCTATTCTTTTTCCACATTTGTTTCCCCTGTAACAGTAGCAAGGCTATCCTATGTCAGTCTTACTGGGTAGCTAAACTGGGTTCTTAATGTAATCTTTCTGCCCTAGAGGGTTTTTTTAGATCACATAGACTAGTGTTGAATTTTCTTTTTTTTTTTTAAAGCCTGAGAGAGTTCGTTGAAAAAGGATTAAATTTTCTTAGCATTACCATGATTTCAATTAATTTTTCCAACAGAGACTTGTGAAAATGTGATAAAAAGTGATGGGGAACAGGTTTTTCAATTGCCTCATCTAAGTGCCAAAGGTCAGAAACAAAATCCTTACTCCCAGAAGCACAGAAAACAAAAGCTTACATGTTTTCTTTACTACAAATATATTTTGTCTTTTTCAAGGACAGGATCAATGGTTACACCAAAAATACAATAACAGTTGATTATATTCAAGTCACATTGTTCCAATCAATTCTCATAACATTGTTTATAATAGTAATGTTCATTCAAAAACATTTCTTTTTAAAAATTTTATTATTTTTTTAATGTTTATTTATTACTGAGACAGAGCACGATGGGGGGGAGCGGGGAAGAGGAGAGTAGAGTGAGAGAGGGAGACATAGAATCTGAAGGAGGCTCCAGGCTCTTATCTGTCAGCACAGAGCCTGATGTTGAACTCATTAACCATCAAATCATGACCTCAGCTGACGTCTGATGCCTAACTGACTGAGCTGCCCAGGTGCCTCTGTTCATTCAAAAACATTTCTGATTATGAAAATGATACATGCTCATTGTGGAAGCTCTGGGAAAGAAATACAATGAAATAAGAAAATAGAAATCACTTTTAGCAGAGACGTTCACTGGTAACATTTTGGTACAGAATATTAGAAAGCTTTTTTCTATGCATATACGCACATATTCTAAATAACGTAGATATTCCATATTTTACTTCACATTAAGCACTATCAATTCCGTTAAGAATTCCTCGAAAACATTTTTATTTTCACTTACCTAGTGGACATTAAAATTATTTCCCTATTTTTCACCACTATAAACACTAGGATGACTATCTTATAGTTAAGTATTTGGTTGTAGAATTTGATTATAGAACTGCTTTTGTAAGAGTCATATGGAAAGTTGATCTAGTTTCCTTGACTTAATGCTCTCAACTTCTTGAGACCACATTTCAACAAATATTTCACAAGTTTTTGTACATCTCCTCGAGCTCCTACACGTTAAGTCCCTTGCCAAAAGCCAGCTCTTTTTCCTAATATGTCCTCTTTTTAGCAGCTCTGAAACACCACGTTCCTTTTTAGACTGCTCCAAAAAGCTACTCAGATTCCGAAAAGCTACTCACCAGGCTCAAACTGAGAACCTGGTTGTTTTGCCTTCAGCAAAAGGAATTTGTGGCCACCCTGAACTAAAGGCAGATTTAGAGCTGGAAAGAGGACTGAGCAGGAGGAAAAAATCATAGAGCCCACTGGGCTTTCCCCCCGCCCCACCTCCACATCACTGACGCTGTAATTGCAATGAACAGAGACGGACCTTAGGTGGAGCCAAAGGGTCCTGGAGAAACGCCCTCCGCGATCAGGCAGGCCTTCCGTGCCTCTCGGTCCCCGCAGCAGCTGGCTGGGAGGCGGCCAGAGCCGGCCAACCCAGAAGGGCAGAGTGCCAGGGAGCACCGCCTCTCGAAGAAAGGGAAGAAAAAAATGCCTCCTTATCATGGTTTGTGGAATTGGGGAAATTCCACAGCCAGAGCCCCCAGTAAAGCTTTACCAGAGGCTTACAAAGCAGGCTCCCAAGAGAGGAGCTCCCTGGGAGAGGTGACATTATCCTCACTCTCATCTGGTCACTTAATCACACTTCTATTGTTACCTCACTGCTGGGCATATCTTTTCCT